GGGTGGGGAAGAGAGTCCGGCTAAGTTTTCTTACCCGTGAAAGAAATTCGCTCACGCAGCTGTGCCCTCATTTGTAAGATCTGATTGCGAGTTGTTGACCATTATTGAACAACTTCACAGAAAACGTCGCCTTTTCTTACGACGCTGTCTCTTCGGTAGCTGCTCATCCAACCAACAACTATTCGTATCTGGTCGACGGACTTCTGGCTCTATCCGCTCTTTATACCACCTACCTACTCTATGGAGATGTTGCCACAATTTTTGATATCCTCGATGTAATACGAGTTACTTTGTTAAGGTAAGTAGTACACTTCGAAACATCATCATTAGCAATGAGCAGTCGTCTGACAGGTATAGTAAAAGGTGATTTGCTTTTTGGAGTAAATTGCAATGTGACCAGGGTTAAGCCTGTGGGAACTGTGCATATAGCTTTCCTCTTCATTTTTGCGCCTTACTCAGACAGGGTATTTCACAACGCCCAGTTTCCAATTATTCTACACCTTGAATACTTATAAATGCCAGTTACTCGTCATCTTTGCACCTTGCTCTGGTTGTGATCTCAACTTTTCTTCTTAAGTGTCTAGGTTCAAGGAAATATAGTATAGAGGAAAAACTGCTTCATGAATTGTTCAGATTTTGGCCAGCTTACGCGTTTTGTGTGCTATTCATGTGGATTCTATTTCCTGAAATGTCAGCAGGTCCTTTATGGATCCATACAGATACGGTAATCTAACAATTTCTCGATTGTTATGAGGGCAGTATTATAAAATGAAATTACTTCCAAGGTAGAGCGGTGCACCGACAGTTGGTGGAAAAATCTTCTATTCATCAATAACTTCTACGGTGTCAAAAACACGGTAAATATTTATGAGGAACATTTTGAATACATAATAGAAGAACTTCGAGAACCTTTTGGATTTTCAGTGTGTCGATTTCGGTTACGTCGTCTCCTTGGAGGCACTTTATTTCGTTCCACTAGTGATTTTAATCTACGTAGCCAGAAAACGGTTGTTACTAGCCAAAGTGAGTAAGTTTTCTGAAGATGATATTGGATAAAAGCCAACAACCCTTTATTATCACACCTCTCTGGATGGAAGGAACCTTTGCCTTCGGAACTTGAATTCGAGAGGGGCTTTCACAGAGGCACAGTAACACTTTAGAGGAGAGCTGATTCTTCTAAGGATCATATTTAGGCTAAAAATTGAGGCAATGGAGAAGGTTAGGTTGTCCTAACAATAAGTAGAGCTTCCATTGGAGGTGCTTCGCGTAAAGTCGCAAAAATGTCTCCCTGCCATGTCATTGGAATTCCTGTCTAACTTTCGTGAAATGAGTAGAAATGGGTAAAATGTGCAGGAACTAGTAACAATCCTAATATTGAAATGGCGGAATATATAAAGACTATCCCTGGGAACGGACGATCGTGGTGTAGTGGCAAGTGGTGCACTATCACACCCGCATGGTAAGGGTTTCGAATCCCGAACCGATATCCGCTAAGACAACCAAGATTTTCATCCCTTTGGTGTTGATCAATTGGTGCCAGACTGGTCTGGTAGGATAAGAGCACTGACTTTCACATCGGCTAGTCACCGCAAGTCATTGTATGGGTCAGGGGAGATTCAGGAGTAAAAATGAAGGCAAGATATATGTACATTCACCCTCGCGTGAGCTTGGTCAACGCTCAATGACTAGCGCTTTATTCCTGGAAACTAGTTGGATCTCTAACTCGGACAAATTTTCTGGACGAGTTCCTGTAATCCATAATCTACTTCAGATCATCGCCATCGTTATCATGTCGTTGACGATATCGTGGAGTTTCTATCGGACATTCGTTGGCGCTCTGCCGCCGGCTCCTCTTCTCACTGCCGAACCCGTACCGTAAGCAAGCATCTTTCGATTTCTTTTGTCGAATTCATTTAGAAGTGCTTTGAAGGTGTTTAACGAATTGAATTTTTGAATAGAATCTTAGAAGTCATTTGAAACTAAAATGAGACCAATTTCGCTCTGTTGTGTGCGTGATGTACAGGCAAGGGGCTTGTAGCTGAACAGCTGCTCCTTGCCTGTACTTCAGGCAGCAAATGAAATTTACATCGAAGCAGTCAAGACGACGCTCTAGTCTGTCTAGAATGTATTTGTCACTACTTTGCTTATGAGGGTTTCAGAAGCAACAGCCTTACGGGTGCGGTTTTCGGACATCTATCTACAAAACTGCCTATTATGGAAGCATAAAAACATTTGCACTATTTGTCGCGATATTTGGCCTTTAAAACTGTGCTTTGCCAGCTTATTTCGGGATAACTGCCAGGTGAAGAGACCTGGGTCTCTAGAACCTAATTCAGGGTGGAGCTGACTGAACGAATGCTGGACGAAGTTCTCGTGTCACCATTTACTCGAGCCTCACCGACTATCGTCGGCTTTTTGTTTGGCGTTTGCATGTGGAACGAGGATGGCACCTTATACAAAGACATTTTTGGAAAGGCAAGTTCAAGAAGAGCTCTCCCGTTACAATGTTCTCAAAAGCCCAAGGTTACTCGTCCATGGAAGAGCATAAAGCTGTATAGAAAGCCAATTGAATTGCGATTCTCTACTGCAAAAATTCCATGCGATTCCTTTTCAGTTGTTCACGGTGATGATGACGATGTGGGCAGCATTATCAGGATTGTTCGTTATGTTCTCGTTGATGCCGTTCGCCACTTCGTCCGTCGGCCATCCACTGTTCCTCGCCTTCTATGCGGCTTTCCATAGACCCCTCTGGGCTACCTCCCTCCTTTCCTTCCTCTATCTTTCCCATCATGGTTCATTCGGTGAGTCATTTATGAAAATTTGCTATAGCCTTTAAGAGTTTTTCTTGAATTAGGTTCTTTCACGAAGGGAAATGGAATGCCACTGTAGTCATGGTGGTTTTTTCTCAGGCAGTACCTATGACAAGATCGCGTTTTTAGCATTTTAATCAAACGCATTTGGGGATGCGCCATTTATTAGAATCGCAGAGGCGCTTCGAATGAGCATTTATCCTGTACAATTGCTCATGATAGTCTTCATAGCACCAGTCGAAGCTTATGTCCTCCCAGGCAAGCTTGGTACCAACTGAAGGCACTGTTCACGATAATTCTGGGGAACCTCATTTTGGACAAATAATGGAAGTGATAGTCTTGATCAACACAAAAGTAGCGAAGGAAACGCGAAAATCGGCATATTTGGGGAAATGCAAGTGTTAAAAAGAGTAGTAAAATTTGGGGATGGACGGGAGCTTGATGACTAAAGGTGCATGAGATATTTGGACGGGTTGCCCGATGTATGTGCTATTGCCTACAGCTGGCTACAGCAAGCTGCCTGTGTGCAACGTGTGGATCTTGGTGTGAATGGTGCAACCTCTACAGCCTCTACAACTTCGTGAAGGCTCGTACGCATTGGGCGTGTACGTCGGCTAAGCTTGTTTTTGAGGCGCTTATTACGCTTTATGTGGGCCATTTTTTGGCCCAACAGGGTCCCTTGTGCTGTTATTGGGGGCCACACATTCGTCCTCTAGGGAGGTCTCAAGAACCGTTTTTATCCTGAACTGGGTCTATAAGAGGCACCGCCGGGATAAAATGCTTGGTTGGTCAAACGGCGTCTCAAACCGGGATTCGATCCGAGTACGGTGTGTGTGATATCTATGACTATAACACCTCGCTTACAGTAGCACTATAAATGTAAAAGTGGTAGTGATACCACTTTGCATGAGCTCAACAGTCCAAAAAGTATTCCCACAAAAGAAAGGCGAGTTAAAAGAAATCAATAGCTTTCTTAAGAGCATGAATAAAGAAAAAGTCTGGCTAACAGACTGCAAAGCGTCAGCATACTGAAGCGAGAAAGCGATAAAGTAGGCTAGGACGGGGGGAGGGGGGTTTCGTCATAGAGTATACTACATGGCGGTTGATAAAGTACTTCGACTACGCACAAGTTCAATAATTGACTTGTTTATGGGAGTGATGCGGAACATCATTCAATTCATTTTTCCTCAAAAAAAAAAACAATGGGCTGAAAAGGTAAACAAAAACAGAGCTCAGAAATTCTCCAGAGAAGTGAACGTAATTTAGAGAAGTGCATGACATGGAGAATGAAGAAAAAACCTCTCATTGTATTTCCTCCTTTACAAATTGTTTTTAGTTTATCTCTCCACTGTTTCGAGTGTTGGGTTGTTGTGACCAAAGGGAAGCTCAAGCGCCTTAGTTTCTCACAACTTTTCTTGCATCGATCAACTTTTTTATATGGTTCAACACCGTATTTTTCAGCCTGGATTCATGCCATCTTAACGTGGCGGATCTTTTCACCACTGTCAAAGCTCACATGGATCGCTCTGGTCTTTACCGAACCCATTATACTCTACTTTTTCTCATCTTTATATCGTCCGTCCTACGCTACCAACTGGAGCACGGTGGGTAAATTTGCTAACATTCGTTTAATCACGTACTTGATCGGTTTCTGTTATTCAGTGTTTACTTATTTACTTATTTTAATCTTTTCGCTTATTGATTTTACTAATTTATTTAACGGATATGCTGACTTCGTAAGAATCATAGAGGAGGGCTATGTAATGAAGGTTACTTTTATCGGCTGAAGAGCTGGTCGGAGATGACATAGCAGCAACTGGCTCACTACTACGAGCATGATTGGAAATTGAACCTCGCATCAATGCCAGCCCAGTCCATACTGAACGGCGAGCTTGAAGAACGCTGGAGGACTCTATCCTTCGTCCTTTATTAGCCAAAATGTACCACTGCGGCAAGTCGGAGCTTCTGGAGGTCCATTTGAAGAAAACATCTCTCGAATGAGAACGAAAAGATGTCTTCATAGCTGAATGAACCCTCCCGTGTGAGAACGGAAAGATGTCTCCATAGCTGAATGAACCACAGTCTTCCAGTCCAGACCTTCTTTCCCTTTTATGCAAAGTATTACATATCGAGGTGTAATACATCTATGTATGTATGTTGTATCCTACTAGAGCTATGTATGTACCACCCGCACAGAAGGAATCAAAGTTGCACGGATCAAATCCTAATTGGGATCAAATCAACCCTCCTCATTTTGTCAGTCGAGTGCAGTCCAGCTTTTCTGGTGCTTCTTTTTTTATGGGGGAGTTTTCTTTCCTCTAGCCGTCATAGCCATTCACTACTTTACCGTTTTTCACTTCGATCTTGATTGTAGTGCTTACTAATATGATATCCCCCAAGCGGAACGAAATTTGTATGGAATCGCTTACATCGTGTTTCGAAGACCCTTCAGATGCACCAATGTTATAACATGCTGTGAAAAACAAGCTGCCTGGGATGAATGGTGGGAGCTTTTGCCTAAATGCAATTACCTCTGCCTCTGACCCTGTTAGCCACCCAGTTACTCAAAGCCTTAACCTTTTTCTCAGTTGTCCACTGTGACAATTCGTAGCGGACCTGATTCTTCCTCGAAGTGTGGCTTCGACCCCTTTGAGCGCACCGCACCTTCCTGACATTCTGCTATGGTTTTTGCCTCCATTTGTGATGTGATGTCTTCCCTATCATCTATCCTCGTTCCTCACCTTCTACTTCTTTATTCTCAACCCCTTTTTGTGACATTTTCCCCAAGGATACCCAAAGAGCTCTAGCTCTAGGCCCTTCCTGTAGGGTGCAAAACGCTTCGCGCACGATAGCTTTCGTCTCATCGCGTCCGCTTTATGCGAATAATATATGGTGTTGATTCAACAAGGCGTGATCGGCGCTACTCGATCGCATTTCTCTTAGAGTACCGCTCATTCATTATTCATCGGAGCGATGTGCCGCTTCTCTCGCGACTACGGTCGTTCCGGCCAGCGGCTTTTTCCGGCCCGTCTTCCACTGAACTGCAACTGCCAGCCACAAGCTACTAGAGAATAAATCTTTGACCAGATTGTTCAACTTAATTGTGCGTATGTGAATGAATGGCAAGCGGCGCTGCTATTACCTTCCCCATCTTTGGATTGAAAGTAGCATGCATCCAGGAAGTCTTTCATACTTCTTAGAACTTGCTTATTAACTTTTCTTCCAACTCATGAATTGGATTATTCACTTGTACGGCTCGGAGTCCTGTAATGGCTCATCGGACGCAGAGATGGTGGATTAGTGCCAAGTAGCACGTATGTAGGAATTAGCAATCAGACTTTGGTTCGATGTCTGCCTAGGCTGACCAGCTTCTCCAATCTTCCGGGGTCGATAGTTTGTCACCAAACTCCTATGGGATTGTGAAAGCAAGGACTAGTACTGAAACTTGCATACACCCCCTCTCCCTCCCCCCTTTATCTTTCCATCATACATGCACCTAGTTTTATATTCCCGCACCAAATCAGATGCTTAGCGTAATTCAAGGGACTATTATCACCTTCGTAGCACAAAGAGCCAAAACATTGTAAGTCGTTGGCGGAATTTGACAAAGCAATTACACCTCCCTCTCGTAGAAGCTAACCCATGGAAATATGATTAAGTTGGTCATGCTTTACAAAAACCCGCATCGCTTTCTACTCACCCACTTAATCCAATTTCCTCGTTACAGCAGTGAAGTCAACTGAAAACTCGTCCCCACATTTCTTCAATCAGGCAGTTGATATTCAAAGTGTTTCGTGGCTTTTCCATGCTTCAGATGTGTGAAGAAGCGAAGCAGAAGATTTTCTGCTTATGCCTGTTCATTTACCCTTTTCATGGCTTCTACGCTCCTGGGTGGAAGTCAGATCAGTGGCTCAGTCCACTACAGTCAGTACAAACCAGTTATCCTTTTCTTCAACCTGTTTCTTCATAGCTCTGATGGATTCACGTCAGAGGAGTGGAAAATATTGTATGCTTAAGATAACTTGCATTTTTGTATGAATTCTTTTGTCCCATTCTACCAACCCCTGTAGATGCACAGTGGTGATTTCATATTGCCATCATACGAAACGGGCTGGACTTCCTGGTGGGGGTTTTTTCTTCGGTGTGGTTTCCTCTGTCTCTTGCGCTGTTGGCCACCTCGTTATTCACCTGCGCCTCATTGCACTCCTTAGTGAGAAGTGGATCAAAGTGACTCGAAAGCGTCTTCGGAAAAAACGACCCCCACCTGGTTGGTGGGTTGTTGTAGCAGGCGAACGGAACTGGTTTCACATACCTATACGCACCGCCGGGTCAACAATCCAAAGCTGCCCGTTCCTGGAAGTGTCCCCAGAAGATCGAAACGAAATTAAAATAGTCACTGATTACCTTGGCAGTAAAAATGGCTGGAGTGTCTTTTTTCGAGATAATTTTCTACACAACACAATTCGACGATGAACTCATAGCCTATTTTTACGCCCTAGATGAGTCAACCCCTCGACACATCCAGAAATGGTCGCGATATTCGATGAGGATGAAAAGAGAGCAGCTGGTGGCTACGGTAGTTGAAGAGGGTTTGCAGAGGAACCGGTTGAAGGACATGGCCAGATCCGGCGTTTATCTGAGGCTCTGCAGACGTTCTCTAAACACATTTAGAGAAGTCTCTTCTAGTGAGCTACTTGAGTCCAGGAGAAACTTCAGAACGTTCTGTTTCCTCCCTGACGTTCCCACTCTGACGAAACGTCTAGGGCAGGTGGTGGCATCAGTGAGGATTGATTTCTCTGTCTTATTCTAGATTCGGTTTTTTCTTAAGTATTACTCCTATACCGGTACTCTGATGACAGCGTACCACTCCACTTAGCCAGCGGTAACCAATTTTGTCCGACAAACCCGCAAGCGGGCCAGGCCGTTTCTGAGCCGGTTTGTTTTGTTGTGTCGCATCGTCATCGACACCTGGTAGAGACTGGACTAGGTTGGATGGAGAACCCGGAAACCGCTATTCTGCTTATTGTAATTCTCTCGAACACAGAAATGGGATCCACTCCCCCATGGGTACCGCTCAGAACAGCACTGCCTTCTTCCTCTGATCTCTTCTGCTCGCCCACTAAGGCTTTCTTATAGGCATGGGGCTCGTTGGAAAGACAAAAACAACTCATTGTATGTGCCAAATACCTTACAAATGCTCCTATGGCTGAGAACAAAAATAAAATGCGTGGCGCGTCCCATCAAGACAAGATTACCTGACCTTTTGTAACTTTGGAACGTTCACATTATAATAATATACTTACTTCCTTATTTCTTTGATTGGTGACACGACGTTTTTCAGATCTATGCGGCGGTATCGGCAAGTACATTGGCTTACCTGGCTGCACTACTGATCGACATCTTTCTGACGAGACCGATCAGATGCCTTCTACATCGAGAACAGCTCTACCGATACAGATCGGCTCAAACCAGTTGAAGTCTTCAAAGCCTCTGGTCCTCAAATCTCTGGGTCTCAGACCATCTGTTTTAATAAAAAATGTTCTTTTTTTTTTGGTCTGGTAACGAGTTTGTGGGTTTAGTCAGAGGCCGTTTTTGTCGAATGTGTGGATCTTTTTTTGAAAATCTTACCCACGGACCTCTAGGTCGTTCACCTTATGAAATGCACATCGCAGCATTCTCCCATGGAATTTCGCGCGTTCCCAAGCCATGACGGAGCTTTTTAATTGGCAAGAAAGACACGGACACGACATTATTCACGGGGAATCGAGTCGCCTCCCCGCTAATTGACAAGATCATACGATCCCGATTTGGAATTCTCTATTCAACAGCGTCTTTGAAAAGGCTGATGAGAAGGCTAGTTTGCCTGGAGTACGTTCATAAGGAGAATATTACTAAAAACTAGCAAAACAGTACTTGAGGCAAAAATAAAATGGCAGGGCAGTACTCATGAATTTCACTTTATGAAAGTGAGAAGTTGGCCATTGACGAGAGTGCTATTTGGGAAAACCCAGAAATCCTGGAACAGCGAAATCATACAGAGCTAAGCTTCATGAAAACCGTCTGACTGGGAAAAATGTGGAATCATAAAAACTGCCGAAAGCGCTGGTTAGATATCGATTGAGAGAATCGTGGAATCAATGGAATGGAAACGGAATAGATACTTATTGATTTTTCAATCTCTAGTTCTTTCTGGCGGGTTTCGCGATTTCACGATTTCATCAGCCCGCGAGACGATTTCTCCCTGAAACTGATGTTATAATAAATGTCGCTCTTTCATTTAGTTGTATTAAAAATATTCAGTTACGAATATCAAACTAATTCGTCTCACATTATGTAGATGAAAAAAGATTTAGGAATTCACAAAACATAAAAATTAAGAAAAGTATGAAAGATAAATGAAAGAAAAAAATCAAGGCGGAGATGGTGAGTACTTTTCAAATAGTCAGCGAACCTTGGTGAGAAAAGAAGCGACCGTTCCCTTTCTGGTATTACAAGCTCAGTGCTATTACTGTACTACTATGTTCGTTACAACTATGTTCGCGAGTAGCGAATAGCTCAATATTGGAACTGAAGTCGAATAGAATTTGGAAAAATCGAGAGAGGGATGGGATGCTCTATGTTACTGCACCTACTTTGACATTGAATTTTGGTAATGAAGTTGCTGGAGTCAATCAGTCGCGTTCTTGAGGTACGCCTACGCATTCAACTTCCAGTCGGCATAGTATGAAGGTTTGAATACGTATGTGGCCTATGCAGTGAGTTTCGGTAGCCAGCCGATGCATAAGCCAGTGTTTTTATCCTCCCAGACAAACCTATACCAGATAACCGACCCAGATAGGGAATAAACCCCAGTTGGCTTAGGTGAGTGACGATCCTGAATCACGATGAGGAAGACTGTAAGTAAGTAAAATGTGAAAAGAAGAAAAAGCTGTAACAGATCTTGAGCTTTTCTAGACCGACTCCTGATATTCTTGTGAATTGGTGTCTGTAACTGAGTAGCGCTTATCAAGTGATTATAGAAAGTGCAGCAAAACTTAGAAGGAAAAGAAGCACTGGACCAAGTTGCTTTCCTTTACCTGCTATAAACACAGAACCTTTTCAAATCTATCTTCTAAGCCCGATTAGCTCTCATGTTAGGAAAGCTCATTCACTATCGAATTGCTCCAATATTTGGTGTACGGGCTTAAAACACATTCGATCGCTACAACAATTTCAAATTCCAGACAAATGCATAGCTGCGCAATGGAAAATGATTGTTTTGTTCCCAAAGCTTCTCTTAGTCTCTACAGGTATACGATTTCTAGAAACGAGTTGTGCCACTGATTTTCATACTCGTTTCGAGCAGCACTCAAGTAATTCAGTTCAAGGAGCGGCCACTACGTAACCATCACTTTCAGAGGACCTAAACCCAGTGGAACCTGGAAGGCCCCACCTTGATGTCCCACTGTCACAATGGAAGTGCAGCAGTTCACTCATTGTAAGCCGGAATAGCCAGTTTTGACTGTCCATAGACACGCCCATGTCAAACCTCAGCCAATACTCGATTATTTTCAATTATTTCAAAAGAATTATTACAGTATTCTTGAAATCATTGAGAATTACTTGCTTTTGTAGAGAAGTTGATAAGCTCAAAGAAACTCGAAGTAAGCACAATAGCTGCTATCAGATGCCAGCAAGGATGCCAATGGTAATGCGGGCTTTGTTGAAGATTTTGATCAGTATTGTGGTTTTGAGCCGGCTTCCCTTGGGCAATCCCCCACACCTTCGCTACGTGGTCTCTCAACCGAAACGTTTGTGTCACCCTCTGCACTACAGTAATCCAAAACAGGTACGATTGGTTATTGAAAAAGTTGACTTATACTCGTACTCTTCAATCGACAATTATACGCTGAATAAGACTGAGTTATGATCGAGAAACTGGTTTCCGAATGGAGTAAAATACACTCAGATGAACTGCTGTCTTCACGTATAAGAGCGGGTACAGTTGAAATGAGGTGAGTAGACTTGGGAATGTTAGATGTCATGATTTTTCTCATCCTTTAAAGAAGAATCACGCCACCAAGCCGTAGTGTGTCGCAGCCGGTAACAATTTTTTTGCGAGCGGTCACTATTTCACCTGTAGCTCTGAAATCAGGATGACAGTGGGAGCGACAAGATTGAAGCGAACTGTGCTTCGAAAGGAGGAGGGAGGTGAGAACGGAATGGATGCGAAGAGGACTAGAGAGAAAGTCTTGTCAGCGGAGCTTTTCATCTTGGACCGAGCTCTCCTAAAAGAATAGAGCTTTTCTTCTTTAATCTCAATTAATTGCTTAACAGTGGTGTTGGGATGACCACATAAGGAGTACTGAGACGTGGGTAGTTACGTGCGCAGCAGACATGATGATTCGGCCATGGTCACCCAAGGCACTATCCCAGCTCTGTTACAGTGAAGTGATTTTCTGGATGACCAAATCGTTCTCCTCACCTGTCCTCCTTCATTTGACGCTTTCAAAGGACAGAGTCTCCTCCAGAATTCATGAGGCATTCGCTCTGAGCAGTGCTGTCTGTCCTTATACTGGTGCTGCAGTAGTTCCTCGTAGAGCACTACTGCTAAGTAGCACGTTCCCATTGGGAGAAGGAAATGGGACTAAGGCTCAAATAGCAGGTCCCTGAACACCCTTATCGGTTCGGCAATACTACTTGAAAGAAAAGGCGATTTTGCAGTACCTGTATTTCAGCAGAAGTGGGAAAGTTGCATGACCCTTTTTGATTTTTTCTCCTAGAGACTCGATTATCCGTCTGGTAATGGAGTCATATACATATTGAAAATTACCTGAGTGGAACGGCGCCTCATTCTCAAGAGCTCAATTTCTTTACTACTAACTATTATTAAGATTTATATAAATCATGTACAATCTGACAAGATAAAACGGCAAGACTTGGTCCACAATGCCACACATAGAACATGAAAAAAATAAAATCGATCAATCAATCAATCACTTCCAATCAATAATTTAAAAGAACACAGATCCGTAAATGATTGCTTGGGGACTTGTGTACGTGAGGAAATATCCTATGAAAAATACAGATGAAAAATAGGATGAAGAAGAGCACGGGGATGAGAGATGTGGACTGGCTTCACAAGCCCCAGTGATGGCTGACCTGGTTCGCTTACGTAACCACCATGGCCAGCCGACCGACAAAGATCATTTCGTAAATTCTCAATAAAGCAAGCAGATGATGATGATTAAAA